CAGAAGAAAGGAAGGATAGTTTAATAGGATTTAAGGATGAACTGAGGAGCAGTAAGGAAAGGACCAAAGAATACCCGTTTAATTATTGAATGGCAGTTACCTTGTAAAACAAATTGGCCATTTTACTTTCGGGTTTATTCATTCTGATTTTAACTTCTGTGAATTCTTGCTTTTTTTTTTTTCTTTTCTCTCAAGTAAATGGATTTGGCAGCTGAACATCTTAAAAACTGGCAGAAGAGAATGCCCTTCTGTTTGAAAGCCTCATCTTGCCATTTCTTTAAAAACACTTGGGAGTTGGGGAACACACTTTTTACCTAGAAATCTTGATCTAAGTTGCATAATATAGCCCTAAGATGCTTTTGTTTGTTTCTTTGTTTTCAAGACCATTTTTCAGATGGTAAATAAATTAAGAATGACAGGATTATATAATGATTGCATTCCTAAATAAAATTAAAAAAGCAAGGAAAGTAATTATATTGTGCCCCAATTAACTACATGTTTGAAAAATAGCTTTATGATAGTCAGTCTTTTGATATTAATAAAGGAAAAATAATTAAACATCAAGTTTTAATGAGACAAAGTGCACACATGTGTTGAAACTTATTTGAATCTCAGTCATATAGAAAATTAAATAACCATTATACTGTTTATAATAGGATACATATTTCAGTTAAATGCATGATGTACAATATATTATTGAACACTAAAACCTCAAATATAAAAACAATGAATTCAGTAATATGAGAGCACATGTTTCAAATGAGTTACAGAGTGTTAAAAGTTCACTGTAGTTCCTGATAGTACAGAGTAAGATTCAATAACTAAAATATCTCCGTTTTAATGTGTGTGCTATAAAGCTATTTAAGTGATTTAAGAAAACAATTTTAGATATGCTAATTATGTTGTACACAATTCTTATTTGAAACATAATCTGTAGACTATTGAATTATAAGCAATTCCTTGATTTGAATCATAATGTGGAGTAAGTGATTATTTCTACATTGTTTCCATTGACTTCCTAAGGTAGTGCTGTGTTTTTAATAATGTATCTGTGATGCATATGGTACCCATTGTGCTTATGAGCAATGCTGTTGCATTCATTCAAAAATGAAAACTGTAGATTCCTCTTAAAGGCTTTAATTTTCATACATCTTGGTACATTTCCTTACGTGGTGAAATATGAAACTAAAGTGCCGCAGGCGTATCATATTCACTGGTAGGTTTTAGCCTGAATTGAATAGGCATTGTCCTTGTTTTGTTTATGTTTGCAAGGAACACAATTGGAAGCCAACAGAATTCTTCCCAGAAGAACATACTAGCTTTATAAAAAGCAAAGAGCATACTAAATAAAAGAGGTGGATATAATGTACGTGTAAGTTTTTACTATGTAACTGTTAGTGTTGCTGTAAGCAAGTGGGCAGACAAAATGGATAAGCTAAAAACAATAAGGTATAAATATAGAAACACTGCATTTTTTACAAAAATTAATCCAGGTAAGAGTATTTTGTCTGTGATAAATGCCATATGTTTCATCATCATTTAACACAAAACAAGTGTAAAATGTTTCTTTTCCTCGAATCCATGTAAACAGAGCCCAGACGGCCGTATCGAAGTCAAAGGGCAGCATGGAAGCTCATCGCTGCATATTAAAGATGTGAAGTTGTCAGATTCAGGGAGATATGACTGTGAAGCTGCAAGTAGAATTGGAGGGCACCAAAAAAGCATGTACCTTGACATTGAATGTAAGTTGTTCTCATTTTGTATTTTTATTGAAACAACTTTTTCTG